GGAAGGGGCAGAAAACTCCCTCGCTTTGTGTGTGTGCATTTCTATTTATTTATTTTTAGTGACCGCGATTATTTTTGCCTTAACCCCCCCCAAAACCCAAGCTACAAACTTTCCCGAAACTCCAGGCTGCGCTGCAGGAGCTCAAAGGAGCTCAGATAGCGGATTTTAGCCAGACCCGCCCTAGCCGGCTCCTTACAGGAGGAGACGTCCTCGGCTGGGGCAGGAGCAGAGCTCCCCGTTGCAGTCAAATTTAAGTGCTTGCGGCTGCCCCTGCGCTCGCCGTGCGGCTGGCGGGCATCTGCCGGGACCCTGTACGTGCGGGGAGCCTGTTTACGGTGTATATGCCTGCGCGTGCCTGTATGGCGTTTGCACATAGGTTTCCCATTTGAATCGCATCATCCCGATTTTGGACTGCTTCCCCCACGTTCTGAAATATTCTTTTTCTTCTCTCCGCTGAGCCATAACACCTCCTCTGTGCATTCGTAGCAACCGGCGATTCCGCGATTTGCAGTGGCACGAAACCCCGGGAAAAGGCGATCCTGAACTTCCCGTTCAGGAGAAACCGCCAACGCCCGCGGATTCCTGCCCCGCGCCCGCGTACACTGCGCGCCTCCGCGGGTGCGTGCGTGGCTCACGAAGCGGCGCTCGCATATGCCCCTCGCTTAAAAAACCAACGGAGACCCTTGCCGTTGCAGCCGGGGGTAAGAGCGAGCGGCGTGGGAGCTCTGCTGATTTGCTTACGCCGGGGCGGAGGGCAGGGAGTATTTTTATTCAGGCACGGTCGCTCCAGCGGTGCTTCATTCCTGGGAATTCCGCTTTCATTTGATGCAAACGTCTATTTCTGCCCTGTTTGGGGTCTTTTACCTCCGAGGGTATAAGCCACCAAACCCTCAAGTAATTTGCAACGCAAATTGTACCAAGCCCCCGCTGCCCCCGCTAGCCTTCGTAGCTCGTATGCCAAATGTACTTTGGGGTAGAAAAAATGGGTTTAAAAAGGACGGAGAGAGAGGCGAATGCCCCAGCGTTATTATCGTCAACGTGACCGCGTGAAAAACGCCTGTAATTATTTGCTGTATTGCATCTCTTGCTCTCCGCACACCCTCTCCTGCCGCTTGGATGCCGGCAGTGAACAAATGCAGAATTTTACAGGGAAATAAAAACGCAGGCACGTTCTTTTAAGCGTTATTGTTATTGTTATTCATTTGCTATTATTTTTGGTGAGGAACCAAAAAAATGAAACCCGCTGCAAGTTGAGAACTCAAATTCGAATATAAACATTCAGGACTCCTGCAGCTAAGATTATTTTTTCTGAATGGAAAAAGGAAGTTCTACAATCACATTTCACCACAGCTGACTCTTAATAATAAATACAAATGACGTCGAGTTCCGTCTTTCCAGGAAAGAAATACAATTATTTTTTTCTATTACGGCGTGTCTATACAATGGCCACAAAAAGCAGCAGAGGAGAGCTTTATTTGCATTTTGTGAATTGTTAAGAAAATAACGGGCTCCTTGTTTGTAGAGATCTTGCAACTGTTCCGTAATTTTCGAACTCTAATGGGGGATAATAGCTTCATTATGGGCCTTTGTAATCCTGAAGGGCGGGGGGGGGTAGCGTTGTTAAAATAGGGTCTCTGTAAGATTTCGGATTAAACTGTTGGGGAGACATGAAAAGAAAAAGGAAGAGAGAAGGAGAGAGGGGAAGAGAGAGAGGGAGAGAGGCAGCCCACATAGCGATGTAAAACTAATTAGAACCACACTTTCGCATGCACAATATTTACACGTGATTTTAATTATTACTCGGCCGTCCCTACCATTCACTGGGCTCTATTTTCAATAAAAGGTATTTCGAGTCAATCGAG